CAGGATTAGCTGGGCCTATATGGACTAATGCCTTCAGTCACATGACTGTCACCTGATCAAAGTGTAGGCTAGAACTGGGGGCTTGAATCTTTGACAGGCTCAACTCACCCTATGACAGGGCCACAGAACTTAGACTCAGGGTTTCTTTAAGTTCTGCCGGCTGCAATGGAGCCCCACTGGGCTGTTCTGGGACCTGAGACAGGAATGCAGCTGTACATTAGCCACACACCCCTTCTGTACGTCACACCCCTATGTTGGAAGTGGGATGGGCGGCCCACAGCTGCTAGGCCAGTTCTATGCCATCTGGAGATTCCTAAGGGGAAATTCTTAAGGTAGCCGGTTAAGCCGGCTATAAGATTGCACCAGTCTCACAGCGCAAAGCAAAGCGTTCTCCATGTGAGCCATGATCTGGCCAGTAGACGCTGCTCAAGGAACTAGACAGCTAAATGTATACACTAGAACCAAATAGATGCTGGGAAACCCAGAGGAAGTGCTATGTGCTTTAATACGGATGAGCTTCACGGAAGAGGTGCTTGAAGACCTGAATGCAGAGATACTGCTTCCCTCGGCCAGGGAGGGCATCCTAGGTGTAGGGATGCAGGAGAACTAGGTCAATACAGTTAAGAAAGCCATGGAGATACCACCTGTCATGTCACTCTCATGACATGACCCACATCTCAATGGCATTGCAATGCAGGGTGTTCAGTCTCCATTGTGCATCATGCCCAAATGGCTACTTCTGCTGAGGAGGTTTAGAGGCTCCCCCAGTCTCCTAGCACTTTGGGTGGGGTTCTGGCACACTGTCAGGGTCTCCCTACCTGAAGGCAAAGGTACAACTGACCCCCCCCACCCCATTCCCCACTTTCTTGCACCAGAAAGGGAAAAACCAAAACAAGCCATTGGAAACAATACAAAGCTGACTTTAAGGCATGAGTTGTCCATTAACAGGAACAGACGCAGAGTATCCCCTTATGAGTCAATACTGGGTACCATTCTGTACCATCTGTGGGCCACAAGTTCTGGGGGGAGGAGAACAAAATGAGTCACCGGCATCCTGGTCAGCGGCAACCAAAACTCTGAGAGGGGCCTCTTGGGGAGACTTGGGCAGGATCTTCTGCCCATCTAACCAGTGGACACTGTCCAGATTGGGGTGACAAGCAGCGATGAGCGGTAGAAGGAGGGTATATTTCAGGGGAAGGGATGAAACCTTGTTATTTTTAAACTCTTCAGTCATAGGGCATGCAGAGCTGGGTGGGAAGGAGAGGGGGCATTGCCCGGAAGGGAAAAAAAAAAAAAAGGTGGGGGTGGGCTAAGAAAGACACAGCTGATATCATGCACAAGAACTACAGTGATCCCTTCTGCGAATCCTCTCCCACCCAGTGGTTGGGCCCATGCTACATGCTCTTTCAGATGGAAGGAGAATGTGGTCTGAGCTACATCACTGCCCATCACACTGACTAGTATGGTCTCATTATTTCCTTTAACCACCCCACGCTCATCTGTTTCCACCTGTTGTCTCTGGCCTTTTTGTTAGATTGTAAGCTCTTTGGGGGCAGGGACTGGTTTTGCTGTGTTTGTATAGTGCCTAGCACACGGGGGTCCTGGTCTATGACTTGGGCTGCAAGGCGCTACAGTAAGACAAATAATAAATCTGCCCTGCCACAGCTCCTGGGGTCCAGTGTTCTAGCCTGATGTCACAAGAGCAGCACAACCAAATCCCTCTGACTTTCTTGTGACTTGAAAATAAACCAAAAGGGGGTTGAAATCATTTCTAGCAACAAGATTTGAAGATGGAAAAAAACAGCACCTGAGAAGTGACTTAAGTGTCAGCTCCCAACAGGCAAGAGCTGAAAATGAGGAAAAAGGTCTTTAGAAGAAGAAGCCAGAAATGTTTCGGAATCGCAGCCCCACTGTTGTGTAATCCCCACCTCCCTCTGTTTTGACATCGCTGATTAACCAATTGCGGTCCCTCCTTGCTGATCCCAAGGAAGTTGAGGGAGGAAGAAATTGGAAATCTGACAAGAGCCCAGGGGGCTGGGGAGTGCAAGTGAAAAGCTGCCAAGATATTCCCGTTCCCAGGAGAGCACTCCACATATGCAGGACGCGACATGTATGGTTGTTCATAAGTCTGATGCCTTCAGGTCTGGGAGCTTTAAAATTCCACCTGTCCTGTAGGAACCAAGGCTGAATTGCCACTGAAATTTAGAGGTCTCATGTTTTGGGTGCCCAACCGGAGGCGAATTTTCAGAAGTGCTGAGCACCCACATATTCAATTGAAGTCAACAGGAGCTGCAGATGCTTAGCAACTCAGAAGGGAAAAAAGAGATGAGGCCACTTATTCACATTCAGGTTGGGTATTTAATTTTCAGCACCCCAGTTAGAAAAGTTTGGCATAACTAAACAGTCTAAACCTCCTGTCTGGGGAGCAGCGTGTCCGGAAGGTCTGACGAAGCGAGTGAGAGAAGGAACTAGGCAGGGGTGAGACTAGCACAGCTGTGGGGGAAGAGGTGCGATGCGATACGAATCAAGGGCAGAAACATGGGCAGCGCCAGAGCTGGGCAGATCACCGCAGCTGCGCTGAGCCCTGTTCTGGTTACGTGAAGCAGCTAATAGGTAACTTTCTAGAGGACAGCAGCATGGCTACTACGTAGGAGAAAGAACCTGCTTCAAAGGTGGGCCCTTCTGGAAGGTTCTGCCTGCAGTATGAGAGCTGAGTCATTTACTGAGGATGGATAAAGCCCTCGAATGAGGGTTTCTCACAATGAGGCCCTGTTTGAAAACACCTGATCCAAAGCCCATTGAAGTCAATGGGAGGCCTACATTTTTAAGAACCAGGGATAATGCTGGCAAGGGTGATTCAGCAGGATCCAAGCTGCGGAGGTGGGAAATGACCTCTATCCTGGTGGAGGGTTGCCTCTCCTATCCTCCCCTATCATTCAGGCACCCATTGCCTCCCCGATGTTTGCAAGGCATTTTCTTTTCCATCTGCAGGGAAAACACTTGCCTAGATCCTGGCTGACAGTGTCACACAACAGCCCTAATCATGTTGCTGATTCCCCATCAGATGACCCAAGCTCACATCCCCCTTTTGTAATCTGTTTCCGGTCATGTGCCAAGAGGAGACTTCAGTAAACAATTGCGGCCTTGAATGCTTGGGGTTTTTCCCTCATGCTAGTGTCAGCACTACTGGTATCAAGGGGTTAATATTATAATGAGCATGTGTGCCAATGCCCCCTACTGGATGGAAGAGGACTATAACCATGTTTCATGGATCCTATACTGCTAAAAGCTAATGCAGGTTCCCCTTAATCCACAAGGGGACAATTCCTTTTGAAGTGGGTTCTGAACCTCCCTCCAGCATTCAAGTTACATAAAGTCCCTAGCGAGGCTGAGGATAGGCAGCTTCCTGAATATCCAACATGTAATTTGCTCCATTAATGAACTACAAAGCGTCTGTGTGTGTCCAATGCAAACCCAGGTAGTGAGCTTTGATGAAAGGAACCCTGCACTCTCAAAATATATGCAGTGTTTTACTAAAGCAAAATGGCACATACATTCTGTTTCTGGATTCCCTTTTCACTTGACCCTCATCAGTGCTGCTGCCAGTGTGTGGGTGTGTAACATCTGCCTTGTTGTTTTCTTGAGTGCCCAATCTCAAGTGCACTCAACAAGCCAGACTTTCCAAAGAGCTCATGGCCATTTTGACAAATGCTCAGCACCCCCATCTGGGGTCAGACTTTCAAAACAACTCAGCGCCCAGCAGCTCCCATTGTGATTCCTATGGGCTTAGGCTCTGATCCAGCAAACGATTTAAAGCACATGCTTAACTCTAATGGGACTACTCAACAGCTTAAAGTAAAGCAGTAATGCTTTGCTGGATCTGGGCCTCGAACAAACAGCAGTAATTGTTCTTTTCATCCATAGATAGCACGGCACTTTACAAAGGAGATCAATATCGTTATCTCCATTCTACGGATGGGCAAATCACTTCCCACCTTCATTTCCCCAGCAGCTCAGTGATAGAGCTGGGTTCTATTCTTGGCTCTTACAGATTCCAGCCCAGTGCCCTGGCCACAAGGACTAGTAATACTAACAGCTACCTCTCCCTCCTGCTTGACGCATTCAGTGAAAACTACAATTTGTTATGCCCTTGCATCACAGACAGCGGATTGTGGCACCACCAATCAGGCAAGAAGTTGAAAGGTCTGATTATAAAGGAGAAAGCTTCTACTGACAGTCAAAGTTTGGGTAATTAGCAATGAGGGGAAAAGAAATAGGTTACTGAAGCTGTGAAGACTGTTTTAAAGCTCTCTTGGGTGTGGCAGCGGGTTTATTAAAACTGCAAATAGCTGTAAATAAGAGGAGCTCGCCCTTCAAACTGTTGGCTCCTCCATTCCCTGGGAGTCTGTACTGCATCTGTGTACTCATGTAGTGCTACACTTAAAGGCCTTCTCCTCCCCCTGAAGCCAAATGAGGCATTGCCATTGATGTCTGTGGAAGCAGGACTAGAGTCTAAAGGATCAAATCTTCAAAGAGAGAGTTAGGCAATCCCTGCAACAGCTCTGTAAAGGAGGTATTATCACTGTTTTACATGTGGGTAAACTGAGGTAGAGTAAGGAGCTTGCTGCAGAACTGAGGCCCTGACTTTGGCAGGGTGAGTTTCCTCGGGAGTGGATTTCCACAGCACTGGATGAGAGAATGTGTCTGCAAACAAAAAATACTGCCCATGTGCAGGGGCTGTTGAAGGGATAAGGCCTGAGTGCAATTCAATATTCACAGCAAAGAGTCAGGCACTTGAGAAGCATTTGCAGCAGGATGAGTCAGCTATCACTGTGGGCAAGCAACAGTCTCTTTTTCCCGTCCTTGCATGCTGCAAAGAGGTGCCGATGACAACAAGTTTCCAGGTTAATGGTAGACCCTATGCACTGAGACAGGGACTCCCTGCAATACCATGCTGCCAAATAGAGCAGTGACCCTGCAGAATCAGCTGCTGTACTTACATCCATGTAGTTCTTGAGGGTCTCCGGGGTGGGATCCCCTATGCCAGGCACACCCAGCTTGTATTTCAGGAATTCGCCCATGGCATTCAGATCGGGGATTTCGCTTCCGGCTTCATTTAGGATGCGGCGCACCGAGGGGAACTTAGTCAGCGGGATTCTGTTTGGGAACGAAAGAAAAGCACTTTGCCAGGTAAAGCAAGTAACCCTGCCAATGCCACACAACAGCATCCACCTCCCCTACAGGCAGGGCTGGGCCCCATGCAAAGCAAGTGATCGTCTGGTACGCAAGGAGTGCTCAGAGGTTCAGTAGCAGTCTTACAAAAATCCAGAACATGCTGCTGTTTAATGTTCTGAGGGACAGAATTTTCCCTCCTCCTCCCCTCTCCCCAGGGTGACAGCACCTGTTTCTGTTGATCTGTGCATACAAAGAAATGCACACCAAGGCCTATAGGGTTCTCAGGAACACATCTTCTGCTGGTGCAAAATGGCACAGTTCCATGGGAATTAACGGATCTGCCAGTTTACATCAGCAAAGAATTTGGCTCCTAATGTCAGCAATGTTTACAGCGCAACTCCCAGCCTGGGGCAAACTTCGACAAAGTTTATATTTTTCTGAAGCCTACTGTCAGGTCTTCTTTCTGGAGCCTTAATAAGAATACCTAGCTCTTCGTGTTTTTCATGTGTAGATCTCAAAGTGCTTTAGAAAGGAGGAAACGGCAATTATCCCCCAAGATGGGGAAATTGAGGTAACTGAGGTACAGAGACTGACTTGCCCAAGATCACACAGCAGGTACTTGACAGAGCCAGGAAGAGCACCCAGGTCTCCCAAGTTGAAGCCCAGTGCCCTATCCAGAGAGCCATGTTGTCTGTCTCTCTTGATTCCCAAGGCCTGTGTATGAAGAGAAGCACTCATTGCTTTCCATCCGGGGCATGTCTACTACACTTCCAGCTGGGGAAGTGTGCGTCCTTGAGCTTGGAACGGCACCCCAGGTCCTACTGTAGACATCCCTGAATGAGCCAAACTTAAGGTGTGTCACAATCCAGCATTTCTAGCATGGGCTGCTTCTAAGAGTTGGAAGCCTCACCTCAACTTCAGTGACCCACATGAGTTTGTCTGTGCGTGGAGGGGAGGTGGGCTACCAGCACCGGAAGAAAAATAAAATATCAGGACGTTTGGGTATCACCGTTATTCCCTTCTCCTCCTTCCTTCCCTCTTTGGGGAACTCCCCTTGTTCTTTAAGGCCCTCTTCATACCAGAAGCAGAACCACGCTAGTTCTAGCTATGTTCCAACACATAGAACAGGACATTGTTTTCATGACAAAGGCCTGGATCCAAAGCCCACTGATGTCAATGAGAGTCTTTCCATTGACTTCAGTGGGCTTTACACCAGGCCTCCCATTAGCAGGGTGCTGGATGAATATAGAAAACAGAACATTCTTGCCCTGAAGGGCTTATAAAACCATGTTTGGGGAGGCGGCAGGAGTGGTGTACAGCGCTGTTTAGTTTGGGAAAAGGATTCCCTGTTCACTTGAATTAGGGAACCATGCTAATGATAGTTACTGATCCAGCCTCCAGATCCCAGCATAGGCGACGCCTCAGCGATTTCACTCAAACAGGGAAAGCATTTTAATGCTCAAGGCCCCTGCGCTACTAATGATCTTCTGGAGCCAGTGGCTTTGCTCAAGAAAGTTGCCCCTTAAAGTGTGGCAGTCAGCCTGCTCAAAACCATCCATTCTCCTCTCCCAGGGAGGCCATGCATCTGGATGCTGCTGTGTGTAAGGACTCTGCCAACTTTTCTGGAGTTTCTGTATTTCAGGCCCTGTCCACGCTGGGAAACTGACCGTGTTCTTGCCAGCGGTCAGGTACCATGGCTGTACTGGTTGCTGATGGCCAGCAACAAGAGTATAATTTTGTTGAAACAGTTGTTGAAAACTGCTCAGAGTCCAGAAACAAGGGAAGCACAGGAGGGGCTCTATGCAGCAAACGATAGCTCCAGTATCAGGCGGTTTCCCTAGGATCGAAGAGTGGTAAAGTCAATACTTATGTAAAGGCACTTCCTTTGTTGGTCATGATCCAGTGCAGATAAGAAAAGTTAGTATATTGACAGAAAGCAGACCACAGCTCACAGAAAATGAAATAAAGGAAGACAATTTACAGCTATTTTGCTTATGATTTAGAACTTTGTAAAGACTCCACTGAGGTTCAATTTGAGAGGACAACTATCCCAGCTTGGCACTCCCTAGATCAGACTCCTGACTCACAGGCCCTCATTCACTGCTGTCCAGCACCTAGAATAGTTATTTTCACTAGTTGGGGGTTGTGTGTGTGTGTACACTACTATTCTGATTGCAAAGCATTTTACACACACTTTGCGCTGGTGAAACTGACTGTGCAAAGTGCAGGGCCACAATGATCAGGCTCCTAATGTGTCCGGAAACTCCCACTTCTGTATCACAGATCAAAGCAACAGACTTCAACAAGAGGGCACATTGTTTCCACAACACAAATCCCCTGGTCAAGAGCTGCTTGCTGCCAACAAATCCCACAAATTCACTGCTACCTAGTTCCAGAATAAATGTATATTTTGTGGAGCGTTTTGTTTGAAGTTAACATATTGACTGCCAGTTTCAGCAACAAGAGAAGAATATTCCTGACCACTAAATAACTCTCAAATCTTGATGATCTCTCAGACGTTCCATTGGCCTTCACAGGAGCCAAAGCCTTCCAAGCCCTGATTTTCAGAAGGACTGAACACCCACAATTCCAGCTGAAATCAATAGCAGCTGCAGGTGCCCAGACCTTCTGAACAATCAGGGCTTGGAAAGTTTTGCTCCTGTAAAGGTCAACAGAACTTCTGAGAAATCATCAAGACTTGAGGTTTTACTTAGTGGTCAGGAATTTTCTCCTCTAGACTGTCAGTTTCAAGTGAAAGTTAACTCAAAACAAGCCCCACCCCCCCAATATACATTTACCTTGAAACTATGCAAGAATGAATTTGGGTGAGCGACCTGAGCCCGACAGGTTTGTTTCCTGAGGACCACATCCTGCTTGACGCCGTGCACCCTCAACTCTAACCAGTTTCAATGGGGAGTTGAGAGTGCTCAGCCCGTTTGCTGGATTTGGCCCTGGGGAAAGGTGACTGGGGAAACAGCTGCAACACATCCAGGGTGGCACACTGCATGCACCTAACTTCTGCTTAGCAGTAGGAAGACACTATAAAGTGCACCTCATGCCTCTTCATGAGGCGAAGTATGCCCTTGGAGAGGCAGGCGCATTTCCCAGGGGGGAAGCCCATAGAAAAAGTCCGGGTCTAGCCCAGGACCAAATTTGAACTCACGCTGGGTCAGATTTTTTTTTTTTTTTTTTTTTTACTTCTTTGCTTAATTCTCCCATTTCCAGCCCCTGCCGGGATGCAGGGAGGCCGGCTCTTTGATTTGGTAGGAGTCTACCTGAGTCTGCAGCTAATTCCTCACGTCAAGCCCTAATCCCCCATGAGCTCATGATGGGGGAGAGAAATCGCAACCGCCCAGGAGCGAGAGACACACGCACATTCCTAAGCAACAAAGACCCTGCTTTCCTGCAACCCTCCCCAGTTACCGCAGGCAGCCGGGCAACGGGCAAGCCCGAGCAGGAGGGCTTCTAACACATACGCCCCCAGCAGCTCTTTGGCGGAAGGGGTGAGCGGCTGCTGTAGCCATCGGGCTCCCAGCCAGCACCTCTGTTTACAAGGACCCCACCCCGGGAGCCCCTAGCGCCTGCTGTCCAGCCGTGCCCAGCTGCAGCCCTTCCCTCACCTGATCAGCGCCGAGCATGGGAGCACAAGGGCCAGGAGTAGGAGAAAGGAGCGGAGCCCCATGGCTGCTGCGGAGCGGGCTCCCGGCGCGACCTGGGCGGCAAGCCGATCCGTGCGTTATCCAGGGCAGGGGGATGACTGAGCATGGAACCCTGTGACTTTGGGATCAGCTGACGGGCTAAAAGTGCCACTCCGTGTCACGTGATCACCGGGGAGGCGGCAGCTGGGGAAGGGATTTAACCCTGCAAACGCCACGATCAGGCGGAGGGAGGTAGCTGAGGGCTGCCTGCGGCCAGACTTTCCGGCAGCAGTGTCGCTAACCTAAGCCTGCAAACACCATGAGTTAGCCCCTTCCTCCCCCCCCCCCATCCCGCCACAGAATATCACGAGGCTGCCTTGGATTGCTTTGCTGTCTGGCTTGTAATTTGGACCTTGGTCACAGGTTTCAGGCTTTTCTCTGCAGTCAGGAAAGCTCAGAACTTAAGAAAAAAAAGTGAAGAATGCGATGCTGGTGGACTCACACTGTTTACGAAAAACACCAAACGTGACAAGAATTGCACTGCGATTGCAAGAATTTGCAACACTGGTAGAGAGATTGTGCCATGTCTACCTCCCACTCACAATCATATAACCTTCCTGTGGCAATCAGGGCAGCTACTGGCATGGAAAGATGAGATCAGGGAAGTATTTAATGTATTTGTACCTGCCTGTTAGTCTCTCCCAGTGTATGCAGTGTGCCCAGCCATTTCATAGCCTCGTTATCAGTCAGGTGAGGAGCCCCTAGCTCACCGTGGAAATAAGTCAGGGGGCACTCATCGAGGATATGCCACATAGCCCGAAGTTAACTGCTTCTACCTGGTGGTGGGTCGTTAGAGGAACCCCCTTGGAAGAGACTGGCTGCACAATGGCCCTGTCCTGTTCGAAATCGGTTCAGGGATGACCCCACGTGTCTTGGCAGGTCAAAACGTGGTGGGCAGATGGCGAGAGTGATTATTAATGACGGTCGTCATCACAGACCTCTCGTTACGCCAAGCAGATTCCACCATGTCTTGTGGTGGCCCAAATGACCACAAAGGGCGCCTAGAAGATTGGTGAATTGGCAGGTGGTTGAAGAGGTCAGAGTACTGAGGCAAGTTGCTGTTCTCACAGCAGGAGAGTCCAGGAGCATGATGTAGGCCCCTTCACGGCGAATATGGGGTGGTGCAATGTTGCTAAGTATTGGCAGCCATGGCAATGGAGTTGCACAAAAAGTCCCCATAATATGCATAGCTTTGTTAAGCTCTACATCGAGCAGCCTCGTGTGAGACAAGCGACACCAGACAGGAGCATGCACTCTGCAGCTGAATAGCAGAGGGTAAGGACTGACGTTCTAAGCATCCCTGCGCTTCGAACTAAAGATTGTTAGTGCAATTTAGCAGCTAGAAACGAGGAGGAGGAGGGGACAGCAGCACGAGAGCTGCTAGCTCCCTGCAGACCACTAGCAAGGGCTTTGTGGGACACCCATGGTGTATGGACCACAATTTGGGATCCCTGCTTAGGACCTTAGCAAAATTGCAGTACCTAGACTCCCTGGTCCTGTAGGTTTGAGTTTTTGTTGGGCAGCTGCCCCATTTCAAGGCAGATAAACCAGATTCCCTGGATCTTTTAGAGAATACCCTGAAAAGCCAGGTGTAGTCTGATTTGCCTGGATGTTAAAGGTCTTAGAGCACTTTTTAGGAAGAAAGGGGCCTTTGACCAAAATTTTAACCACTCTGTAGTTAAGGGGCATGGGGGGAAGAAGGGGTTGTGGCTGCTGCCCTCCAATCTAAAGATAGTAAAACAAATCTTGGCTGCATAGACTAAAGGGATCCATCAGGATGGGATGTGCTTTATAATGGCTAGCTGCAGGCCTCCTGCCGCTGAGAGAATTGGGCTCTAAGCCCATCTGCGAAGCCCTACTAGAGAATCATCTGAGTGGAGGGAGAGGAGAACCTCCAGCCCTGTCCACACAGAGACTCCTATGCCACTCCCCTTACCTACCTTGGCCAGTGGGGGGGCTGGAGGAAAAGGAGTGTAGCCAGGATGCTCCCCTACATTACATTGATCCTGGGGTCCATTTTCATCCTCTTGATTGCTTAACAGCTAGCATAGAGGAGTAAGGAAAACATCAAATATAATTAGGGACTGGGATTTTCACAGCCTGAAGCACCCCCTGGAAGCGTGGCTCCTTTCCCACACCCCCACCTTGCTATTATTATATTTTTCTTGGAGTAGTAGAGAAGCCATTGTAAGGATTCTTTTTTCCCTGCACAGTTGCATTTGGAGAGTTACTCTGCGGTCAGTGAGAAAAGCAGGACTCCCAGCAGGAATAAAGGCTTTGCAGGAGATGCGGCTTTGAGCAGCACCAACTTTGCAAGGGGACTTTCAGGGAGGAAGGGGCAGAGGTCTAACAGCTGGGAGGATACTTCTGCTAAGGAGATTGTCTGTGAATTTGAAGGATGGCTAGTGGTGCCAGACAGACAGCCATGGCTGTTTTAAAAAAAAATCTACAGCACACGTAGAACAGGGGCTTCTCCAAACTTATGGGAGAAAAGGGAGCGGAGTTTCCAAGCCCATTCAGTTTATGGCCTCCACTGAGGCTGCCAACAGGGATCTCCATTAATAGCAATTGGAGTGGTGTGCTTGGTGTTCTAGATACTCCATTCCCTGAATCCCTTTATCAGCCTCCATCAGATTCAAACACCTCATCCCAGAAGGCCCTACAGAATCTCACCCCCACCTCCGCTGTCATTTCTTCCTACTCTCCTGTGTTCCTCCCAGTTCGCTCTCCTTCCTTTGCCTTTTCTCCCACTCTCAGCGTCACATCCTTCTTTGTACTCCCCCGCCAAGTTTCAGAGAGTCAGCCAAGTGTCCTTCCTCCACCTTCAGCCCTGCTGCTTCAAAGAATTTGTCCTGCCTCGCTCTCTGTACAATCTCTGCACACCCTCCCCTGTATGAACTTTTATACCATCTTTTGCCTGGGGTCCCCTTGTCCATTGTAATCTCTTCAGGGGAGAAAACATGGCTCCTGTGTGTTTGTAAAGTGCTGGAGGAAAGAACAGTTCTATAAAGATTAATAAAGCAGATAAGCCAAGATTTTCAGAAGTGACTAATGATGGGTGCTCACCTTGGGATTAGAGCCAAGCATGACAGATATGTAATATTCTGGATAAACCCTCTTGAATTAGGTTTAATACTATTGGGGGCCACTGTATTAAAAATGCAATTGTTTGTGTGTTATTGTGAGATCTGGTCTACTTTACACACTTACATGGATATAACTGTCTCTCGGGTGTGAAAAATCCACACCCCTGTGCAATGTAATTATACCCACCTAACCTCTGCTGTAGACAGCACTAAGTCCGTGGAAGAGCTTCTCCTGTTGACATAGCTACTGCCTCTCACAGAAGTGGATTAATTACGCTACCGGGAGAGCTCTCTTCCATTGGTGTAGAGGGTCTTCATTAAAGCACTACAGGGTGCAGCTGCATCTATGCGCTGATGCAGCAGTTTAAGGGTAGACCTGCCCTGAGATTGTGTGTAACTTCACTGGGAGGCAGGGGTATGCTAATGTAATCCCTTGAGTTATCAGCCCTTTGAAACTTTGTCCTGGGAAGGGGATCTATTGTCTGGCTCATTACCTAGTCACACTCTTCAAAAGTTCAAACTGGATTCTCTAGATTCCAGCCCACAAAGAAAGGATGTTGGGATAAATCACCTGCTGGTAAACAGACTCAGGGCCTGCTTTCTGATCCAGCAAATTGACAGGACCTCTGGTCGACTGAAGGTCCCAGTCCTTAGGGAAGAGTTGGAAGGACTCTAGCCTACTAAGTTCCCATAAGACTGCTCTTGTGCTGAGCAAAGGGTATGATGAACTTGAAACCACAGGAGAATCCCTAAGTGAGTTTTGAAGGACTGCTCCTGCCAGAGCCCCTGTTGGAAGCAGGGGATGATCTTGGGTAAGCTTATTAGCATGCATGTGGGTTCATTTATTGTTTTTAATATGTTTCCTCTATAGTGCTTTTGCCTTAAGAATAAAATAGGCTTGCTTAGAAAGAGCTGTGCACTAGCTTACAACTGTAGCAATTACATGGTGTACTGCCTCTGAGGAAAGAGAAGCAGGACTGCTTAGAGAGTCTGTCTTTTGCTGGGAATAACAGAGGGAAGGCAGGGAAAACTCTTGAGCCTGGAAATAACCCAGTCAGGAGGGGGAAGAGAGAAGTTGGTCTCCATCTAAGAAAAGGAATAGTTAGGGAGCCTTTGCTGGGCCACTGAGAGGAAATACAAAAGTGCAGGTGCCCAGAACTGTGACACTGGGCAAATTAATTTTTTCCCATTAGAAATTGGCTATTTAAGATATATTTTTTTGAATTTTAAGCAAAATTAATGAAAAATGCTATTAGGGTTAAAGAAAATATTTTATGATGTTTTTCAGAGTTTACTTAAAAAATAAAATTTAGGCACATTCCAAACAAACAAAAAACCAACAACTTTCAGAAGCATTTAATTTCAGAAATGCTGAAATGAACAATTTCAGCATTTTGGGGGAGGAGGGGGGGGGGAGGGACCAGAAGTATTGGCCAAAAAAATCAAGCTGAATTCACAGTTTAAGTCAACCTGAATCTGGAGACCCAGGCTTGAATCCCCATCCTGGAGTAGGTGTGTGCCTTTGCCACTAGGTGTGGAGTCATTCTCGCCCTCTGCCCCAACAGCTGCTCAAGTATTTTATAGAAAGTGTAACGGATTGCACAGGAGAGATTGCAAGCTACTTAACCCAGAATACACAGCCCAGTGCTTTGGGCATCACACTGGGCTAGGGGAGACATGGCTTCAAATATTTGTGTGGGGATTCCAGCCCCAGTCTTCCCCATCCCAGGTGGGTACCTGAACCATTAGGCTAAAAGTTATCAGGGAGGCACCTCTTCCCCTAAATGATTTGTGAATCTAGCCCCCAAAGTTCTTTCTGGCCAAACCTATTCAGCCAGTTTACAAATAGTTTCAGGTCAACTAAAACTGCATTTGTCAGTGAATAAACTATTTGCCTAAAACCTTTTGCCCAGTGCCGGGCGAGTGCTCGGCACTGCCTGCAAATGTGGGCCCTTGGCAAGTGTTTCTGGCTGGACACCCAAAAAATCATTAGTCACTTT